GCCGACAGAGCCCGTGGTGGCCGGACTAAGGTCCTTGTGGCCACGTCGCAGGACACGGCATGCTGATGATGCTAATCGGAGAGATTCCACTTACGGGCCCGAATGTTCCTAAGTCACGAAGTGCTCCCAGCAGGGCCGTAGAGGCAGAGACCGGTGCAGCTTCACCGGTGAGGGAACTGAGCAGTCGCCAGGGGCCACAAGTCAGAGTACTCAGGGCTGGACTTGGCCCCCACGGAACCTACCTGGACCCTGTGCTGTGAACACCTTGTTCAGAGGCAGGGCTGATGGCAGATGCCCACCCCGCCTTCTCACCCCCAGGCCCTGAGGATCGTCCTACACAGCCTGGACCTCCGTGCGAACTGCTATCAGCGCTTCGTGGTGCCCCTGCTCAGCATCAGCGCTGATTTCTACATACGTGTTTTTGTTCGTGTCTTCACCGGCCAGGCCAAGGTCAAGGCTTCAGCCAGGTTAGCAGGGGTGGGGCAGGCACTGGAGCAGGCAACAGAGCCTTCCCCTGCGGAAATGAGGTCCTACAGGGGACCAGGCCACCCTGAGGGAAGAGTTGGGGTGTGGTAGCCAGCCCTGTTTCCCCACAGCAAGCAGGCGCTGGTGTTCCAGTGTGTGGGCTGCGGAGCCTTCCACCTTCAGCGCCTTGGCAAAGCATCGGGGGCCCCTGGTGGCCGGTGAGCAACAGTGAGCCAGGAGGGAGGTGAGGGGTTTCTGAGGGGTGTGGTTGCCCCCTAAACTCCTCTCTCTGTGCAGGGTCAAGTTCTCTGCAGCCTGCGGTCCCCCTGTGGCCCCTGAGTGTGAGCACTGTGGGCAGCGGCACCAGGTGGGACCATGCCGGGTTTAGGCATGGGGTCTCAAGGGTCCTTGTGTCTCACTCCTTGTCCATCTGGCCCCTGTGTGTCTGCAGCTCGGTGGCCCCCTATGGGTGGAGCCAATCCATGACCTGGATTTTGTGGGCCGTGTCCTAGAGGCTGTGAGCACCAACCCCGGCCGATTCCATACTTCGGAGCGGATCCGAGGAGTCCTGAGCGTCGTCACCGAGGTAGGGGCTGGGCCAAAACAGGATGGGGCTCACCTGTGCCCAGCTTCCTCCATCTGCCCCATGCATATCCTGTTGTCCCCCATGGCAGGAGCTGCCGGACGTGCCTCTGTACTACACGCTGGACCAGCTGAGCAGCACCATCCACTGTAGCACACCCAGCCTCCTGCAGCTGCGGTGAGGGCTGGGTGGGGGAGGGAGCAGTGCCTGAGTGCTGGGTGCCCTGGGCAACTTGGGCCCCTTTTGGGCCAGAATCCCCCGTAAAATGGAGATCAAACTTCACTCACGTCCAGGGAGTCTCATGTACAAGTGCTCAGAGGCCAAGAGCCCTGGCCAGGGGGACAGTCTGACTGTTTCAGTCATTGGCATTATACCAGCTACGTAGTCACCCTGAGACATGCAGCCAGCCTCACAACTCACCGTGACTCCCACCCACACATGTCATCACTGGCTTTGGGATCTAGCTTGCCCCTCACAACCCCTCTTGGTCCCAGGTCAGCCCTCCTCCATGCTGGCTTCCGGGTCTCGCTCTCCCACGCCTGTAAGAATGCTGTGAAGACGGACGCCCCCGCCTCAGCCCTCTGGGACATCATGCGCTGCTGGGTACGAGCTGGCCTGACTAGATATGGGATAAGAGGGCAAGGCATGGGCAGGCGTGGCATCCCCTGGCCCCTGACCTTTGCCTCCAGGAGAAGCAGTGCCCGGTGAAACGAGAGCGGCTGTCTGAGACCAGCCCGGCCTTCCGCATTCTCAGTGTGGAGCCCAGGTAGGGACATCTCTGCCACAGGCGTGGATGCTCACATGCTTGCAGACGGCCCAGACACTTCCCTAACAGATACATGTTCATTCTTCAAGTGAGATCCAGAATCTACCTTTTCCCACCACTTCTACCGCTTCTCCTCTGCCCCCACCCTAGTCTGGCCCTGTCACTGCTCACATAGACCAGTGTGGTCACCTCAGCCCTGGTTCCCCAGCTCCCACCTTCGCCCCCCACAGACTGTTCCCCCCACACCTACCAGAGGGCGCCTGTGAGCACCTGAGTTAGATCATGGTCCCCCTCTGCTCAGCAGAAACAGAGCTCCACCTGCAAGCCCTGCCCCATTTCCCTGTCACTTTCCAGCCCTCACTTATCCCCCGACTTCCCCCTGGCTCACTCCACACTGGCCCCTCACTCAAGCTCATGAGACACAGCCCCATCTCAGGGCCTTTTTACAGGCTGTTCCCTCTACCTGGAGTGCCTGTCCCTGAGTGCCCCCCAGGACTGTTCCCTCACCTCCTTCAGGTGTCCCTGACTCTGTCCTGTCCTGCATTGAACCCCATCCTCAGTCTCCCCAGAACCTCTGCCCTGCTCTGTTCTTTTCAAAACTTCTCATGCCCTAACGAAACATAACTTGCTGATTCGTCCCGTTTCTTGTTTGTCTTGTACACTAGAATGACAGCTTTACCAGCGGCAGATTTCAGGTACACTGTAGGCAACAATAAATGTTTATTAAATGACTGAGAGAATCCTGACCCAGGCAGATGCCTTCCCAAGTCACCAAGGCGGGCAGGCCCCATGGGCAGTTTTGTTGTGCACGTCCAAGGGGTGGCTGCCCCTCAGCTGCACCACCCCCTTCTCCAGGCTACAGGCCAACTTCACCATCCGGGATGATGCCAACCCCAGCTCCCGCCAGCGAGGACTCAAGCGCTTCCAGGCCAACCCCGAGGCCAACTGGGGCCCCCGGCCCCGTGCCCGGCCAGGGTGAGTGAGAGTGATGGCAGTGGGATTTGGCCAGGGCCTGGGGTGCAGAGGCCTGATGGGGTCCCAGCTGCTCATCTCCCTGCACAGGGGTAAGGCAGTGGGCGAAGCTATGGAGGACAGGCGCAGATTGCTCCAGAATAAGAGAAAGGAACCAGCTGAGGACCTGGCCCAGTGGGCTGCACGGCTTAAGACGTTTCCTTGCAAGAGGTTTAAGAAGGTGAGGCACCCCCCACCTCCAACTGCAGTACACATGGGTCCCCCTTGTGACAATAGGGCAGGGTAAGGGGCAGGGAGGGATGGGAAAACGGGCTGGGCAAGTGTATGTGAGTGAGCTCCCCATCCAGGAAAGGAACCCAGCAGAGGCTGCTGGGCTTCATTCATATCCATCATCTTTCCACCAGGGCACCTGCCAACGGGGGGACCAGTGCTGTTACTCCCACAGACCCCTGACACCTGAGGCCACTGCTGAAGCTGCCCCCGCCGACTGTCCACAGACCCCCAACCAGAAGCCCCCTGGGTCTGGGGCCACCACTGGTCCAGGTGTAGATTGAACCAATAAAGAGATTTCACCTTGCCCTGTCATTTGTCTGAGTGCAGAAGCTGCTGGCATGTCTGGGGCCTGTTCCTCTGTCCATCTGAATTCACTCCCTGGGGGAGCTCTGCATCTAGAGGTTGGTGTGTCCCTGACTGACTGAGGGAGGTGGTGTCAGTGTTTATGAGGCGTTCTGTCTGTGTGGGGAGTGGTCTGTTCCTCTACAGCAGCGGTTCTCAACCTGTGGGTCGCGACACCTTTGGGGGTCGAACGACCCTTTCACCGGGTTCGCCTAAGACCATCGGAAAACACATATATAATTACATATTGTTTTTATGATTAATCACTATGCTTTCATTATGTTCAATTTGTGACAATGAAAATACATCCTGCATATCAGATATTTACATTACGATTCATAACAGTAGCAAAATTACAGTTATGAAGTAGCAAGGAAAATAATTTTATGGTTTGGGGTCACCACCACATGAGGAACTGTATTAAAGGGTCGCGGCATTAGGAAGGTTGAGAACCACTGCTCTACAGCAAGAAGCACTTAGGCGCCCGGTTGCTGGCGCTTGCTTTTCCCCAAGCGGCCACGGGGTGGCAGCCGTGCGCTCGTACCCACGGGGCCTTCCCCCACACCCCCCTCCACTGGTGTGCTCGGGAATATAGGCGCGCGGCGCACGCCGGTGCCACCAAGCTCCCACGTGGCCTCTCGCCGCCAGCCCTGGCTGCCTGGTTTCTCTGGCCCAGCTCCCCGCAGGGCCGTGGTGGCGGAAGCCAGACCGGAACCAGGCTCCTTGTGCATCCGCTCCAGACCAGGTGTTTCCTGCCCTGTGGCCCCTCGAGGCGGGGGGTGCACATAGAGGCACCAGCCAGGCTCCTGCATCCTCCCCACAAGGGCAGGCCTTAGCAACGTTAACAGCGAGGCCTGGGGCAAAGCCCCCACCCTGCCACACGGTAGCTGTGGGACCCGCAGGCACCCTGCACCTTGCTCCATCTCAAGAGTTAAATGAACCTGATCTCAGAACTGGCCTTGTGGGCACATCAAAGTTCACTGGGAGCTTAGTAGTGGACCCTTGCTTCCTTGGGGAAAGTGGGATGGTTGGTGGTGGGGTCCTGAAATCACCTGGTTCCTGGAAGGTGACAGCTGAGGGCCATCCTGGGGGCTCATGCAGCCACTTAGATAGACAAAGCACAACTGACCCAGGTGAGAGGGTGCTGGGGACCAGGAACAGCCTTGTCACTGCTACCCTTCACCACCCAGGACATTCTCCCAACACCTCTATCACCATTCACCCTGCAGTGGCCTGGCTCTGGGATGAGGGCCAGGGACCACCAAGCTGGGGTTATGCTATCCTATGACCTAGAGGACTAGGATTGTGGGGATTTCCTGGGCACCTACTGGAAGGTTCTAGCAATATAGGAAATCTCCCCCAGCTGTAGCCTTTCTTGTCACCTTGAAAGGTGGAGTGATAGCACAGGAGAGACCAGGACAACCACCCAGGCTGGACACCCAAGATCGGAGTGTCAGAACTGCTCTCTGCCATGCCTCCCTCCAGGGTGGGGGTGGTAGAAAGGCTGGGAGGGGCTCTGTAAAAAGAGGAACCAGTCAGGGGGAGGAGAGAAGAAGAAGGGGGCCCCCAGTCACGAGCCCCAGCAGGGCCGGAAAGGGCTCCCCACCCCCAACAAGCACGGACACAGCTGGGGTGTTCAAAGCCACAGGCCAGATCCAACCAACACAGGAGGCCACTGCTTTCCTGCCTCAATTTCCCCTCTGTGTAGCTGTGCACTGGGGCTGGTCCTCAGAGGACCAGGGTCCTTCCAGTGACTGAGAGGACGGAAGGTGAAGCCCTGAGGGGTCACTGACAGTCCTGCCCACTGGCCGGGGCGGGGGGAGAGGCCGATCTTGGAGATCCCCGCCCGCTGGTTTCCTCCGGGGTCAGCCTGGCTCCTTATCAGTCTGGGCCAGGCGGCCAGGCCCTTATCTGCGCTGGCCCAGCATCCTCCAGCCACTGCGCCAGGGGTAAGAGGGAGGAAACCGGCCACTGGGGGGGTAGGGGGGAGGAGGCGGGGAGAGGGCGGGCCAGCCGGCCCCTGAGCCGCTTACTTTTCCTCGAGGGACCCAGGCTGCTGCCACCACCGAGGCCCCAAGGCCCTTGAGAGCCCAGAAAGAAGTGAAGCCCAGACAGAGTGGCTGGCTGCCTGGGGTAGAGTGGAGAGGCTGGAGAGAGCAGGGCCAGGGAGCCTGGCCTGAAGCTGGAGCCATATTCCTGCCCTGACCGACAGAGCCAGGGGATTCAGCAGGCAGCAGGACCAGCGCTGGGGTAAGAGCGAGCAGCCTGAAGGTGGGAGGGATTCCCAACCCACCTGCATTCATTCATTCGTTCCCGCCTTCTTTCATTCATCCATCTGTAGGAACCAACTAAGAGGCCAGGCCAGCTTCCCCAGGACCCAGCTGGGGAAGACAGGGAAGAGGGCCCTCCAGGCCATGGGCCAAGAGTGACAGGGATATCTAAATGGGGTGTAAGGAGGTGGATGCTGATGGGTGGGGCAGGTGGGGGGTCACCAGGGCCAAAAGGAAGGTTGAGGCATGACTATGTACTGGCCAGAGCCAGCATTTGGCATCATAGTGTTAGCAATGGGGGTCGCAGGACTAGTGAAGGGGACATTTTCAGTGTGTGTGTGTGGGGGGAGGGGGGGTCACGAGAGATTATGGAAGACTTTCAGGGTCTGACAGGGAGGCGATGGGAAGAGCCTCGGGGTCCTAGATGAGGACCACAGGGTGGGCCCAGGCAGGAGGCGGGAGGTCAGTGAGAGGTCAGAGTCAATCATGTAGGAATTCCAAGGACACACTGTGTCAATGAAGGGTGTTAGGATCAGATCTAAGTGTCTCAGGGCCCATTATGGCTACCCTGCCTTGCCCCTCCCTCTGGACTCCAGGTGCGGGGATCCTGGAGGAAGGGAATTTGCTCATGCCCTCATGGGTCACAAACAGCTCAGAGACGACACTGCTGGGCTCATCGCTGCACAGCATCTCAGTGGGCATCTCCTGCCCTTGTATCAGATCCCCCATGTTCTGGTAGTTTCTAGGCCTCCCCCCGCCCTCCCCCCCACTATCCCTTCCATTTGAGGGTTCTGTTGGGCTAAGGGTGTGTGTGGCATCTGATTCCTCCTCCCACTGGCTTCCTTCCCTTCCACAGGTGAGCACCCCCTCGGGGTCCATGTGCCCGCCCCAAGCCCAGGCAGAGGTGGCCCCCACCATGACTGAGAAGGCTGAGATGGTGTGTGCCCCCAGCCCAGTGCCTGCGCCACTCCCCAAGCCTGCCTCCCCTGGGCCCCCAAAGGCAGAGGAGGTGGGCCACCAAGGTGTCTCATCCCCCAGGCTGCCCCCTGGTGTCCCGGTGATCAGCTTGGGCCACACGAGGCCCCCAGGGGCAGCCATGGCCACCACAGAGCAGAGTGCCCTTCGGCCCCCAGTGCTGCAATTCTCCGCCCTGGGAAGTGCCCCAACCCCTCTGGCCCTGCATTACCATCCTCACCCCTTCCTCAACAGGTTAGTGGGGGGCTGGGCCGGGGGCAATCCAGGGCCAGGGTCCTTGCCCACAAGGCATTAGTGACCCATGAACCCTTACAGCCTCTACATTGGGCCGGCAGGACCTTTTAGCATCTTCCCTAGCAGCCGGCTGAAGCGGAGACCGAGCCACTGTGAGCTGGAGCTGGCTGAGGGTGAGTATGAGTTTGTGTCTGCATGGGGTCCACGTCTGTCCCATACCTTTCCACAGGGAGAGGTGCTGCCAGGGCACAGACACACACAGAACAGCCCACACGGGCTCAGTACTCATGTTATACTCATGTGCAAAACCACAGTCCTATAGCCAGTCCCACACAACCAGTCACCCAAACAAACTACAAAGGGTCTTGGCAAACACAGCATGGCCCAGGGGCCACAAAATGACAGCTCCACTTGGATGCACAGCCACCCAGGAAGCAGCCACATGACAACCATCATGCAAGAGACAGCCATGGGACCACAACCACACAGGACACAGACAACCACAGCCACTTAGGACCATGGCCACACAAGAATCAGCCACACAACCACAGCCAGGCATGACACAGCCACATGGCAACGATCACACATCACCACAGCCATTCAGACAGACCACAAGTCACACAACCACCTAAGACACAGACAGGACCACAATCACAATACGAGTACTTCTCAGACCCACGAGGACCCGGGTCACACACAGGGACACATTCAGAATGAAGACTATAGGGCCAGCTCCCCAGACTGGCAGCGGCAAGGAAACATTCCGCTAGACAATCTCAGCCACTAACATAAAGGTGCAGCCAGTGGCTCAGAGGCCACAGTTCTGTGCAGCCCAGTCTATCCTTGTCTAGATGGTGGAAGTGGGGGGCGGGCAGGGTTGCTAACTAGCTGGGGAGCCACGTGGTGGATCCTACACGTGCATCCCTGGCGTGGAGAAAGCCCCGCTCACCTCCTGTGTGGAAGTCCCCACTAGGGTGCTGGGAGCCTGAAGTGAGGGCAGCAGGGGGCGCCACCTCGGTGCCAACCCCTCCCCTCCTGCGTGCAGGGCAGCAGCCCCAGAAGGTGGCCCGGCGTGTGTTCACCAACAGTCGCGAGCGCTGGCGGCAACAGAACGTGAACGGCGCCTTCATGGAGCTCAGGAAGCTGCTGCCCACGCACCCTCCCGACCGGAAGCTGAGCAAGAACGAGGTGCTCCGCCTGGCGATGAAGTACATCGGCTTCCTGGTGCGGCTGCTGCGAGACCAGGCGGCCGCTCTGGCAGGAGGCCCGGCCCCGCCTGGGCCCCGCAAACGGGGGGCGCACCGAGGCCCGGACGACGGCGCCCGCCGGGGGCCTTGCCACCCGGTCGAGGCGGTGGTGCGCCTGCAGCCCGCAACCTCGGCCTGCCCCAACGGCAGCCCCGTCGGGGCGGCCCGCCCCATCAAAACGGAACAAGCGGCTGTGAGCCCAGAGGTGCGGTGACCTCCATCGCCTCTGAGCCATGAAGGGCATGGGAACTCAGCCCTGGGCCGTCGAGGAAGGGGCGGACCACGCACCACGCGCACTGCGCTTATTTTGGAGCGAGGTCGCCCGTAGAGGGACCTGTGAGGACTTCCCTTGGGGGAAATGGCCAGGGATCTGGAAGGGCGGGCGACCAGAGGGTCTGGAAGGAACCCTGCAGACCCTCTTATCACCCACCGCCCGCTGGAAGCCGCCTCGCCCACCTCCTCCTCCCGCAGGCGAGGTCCAGGAACATCAACATGGCAGAGCGGCCGTCGCTAAGTGGTGCCTCTTTTTTTCCGGGTTAGGGCTCACGGAGAGGTGGGGAGAGGTGGGGAGGGGCTGGGAGGCTTCCTCTTCTCGCCGGCGGCGCCCCCTCCTGGAAACTCAGGGGTACAAGCGCCTTGACGCCTCGACGGCGCGCCTGGTGCGGGGACACAGGCGCAGAGCCCACGCGGGGCCCCACCCCACCCCAAACCCGACCAGGACCCGCACGATCGAGTTAGCTAAGGCTCAGGCGCTCTTGCTTTTGTTTTTCTTTATTTCTTTATTTCACATACACATTAGCCATTCAATGGAGAAGCCGGAGAGAGTCAGGCAAAGATGGTATAACAGAAGCGCAGTGACGGGGGCGGGGCGGGGCGGGGCGGAGAGGGGACAGACGGGCTGGCTGCCTACTTGCATTCCGCTAGGACACTGAAAACCCAGAAAACAAAACAGACAGTAAACTACCCTTGTTTCTTATGTATCTCAGTGCAGAGACGGGGGTGGAGGGCAGAGAGGGAGAGACCAGGCTGAAGGGGGAAGAGAGGGGGACAGGGGACGCTAAGGGGAAGCACACCAAATCCATTAGTACTATATATAGAGATACTCGTATATACTGCGTTTCTTAGCCTAAGAAGAAACTTGTTTGACGGGACGGGCGGCCTTTGCGGTCCGCAATGCTGGTGCTGGTCGGGCGCACGGATCTCCCGGGAGGGGCCGAAGAGGGGCTGGCCCAGGCTGGCTGGCGGGGGGAGGGGGGCGCCCCAAGGGTGGGTGGGGGGAGCAGAGGCGGGGCTAGGGTGCCCCTCGGGCTCTCGATTGGGGGGCGAAAGTTCTCGTGATTTTTTATTGCTCCTTTTATTTTTTCTCGCGTGTGTGTGTGTGTGTGTGTGTGTGTGTGTGTCGGGTGTGTGTGGGGGGGTCCGTTCAGCACGGTCGGGGTGGGGAAGTGGTGCGTCGTCTGAGCCACCCGGCCCCTCTGGGACCCAGAGCGCGGCGTCCGCTCCGCCAGCACGGGGTGAGAACAAGGCACTAGGTCGGCCGGCCAGCGCGGGGGCGGGTGCGTAAGGCAGTTGACAGGGCTGGTTGGGGGTGGGGAGGGGGCTGTGTGCGGGGCCGTGTGCGTGCGTGCGTGCGCAGGCCTGGGCGAATCGACCTGCCCGCTTGGCTGGTCCTGTCCTGGAGCGTCGAGCCTTTCCCGTGCTCCCCGGAGGGTGGCGGGGTGGGGGTGGGAGGAGTGATGTTGAGTTGGGGGCGCCGGGGAGGGAACTACCAACTTGCTGAGCGCGCTCCTGATAATGCTGGTGAGGGTCAAGTTGGCGTCTGGCTCAAAGAAGGGCGCTCAGGGGGGGGGGGGGGGAGGGAGGGAGGAAGGGAGGGGACATTTGTTCGTTGGCATTGACCTCTGCGGGGTAGGGACTGGGGGCCCCCCGCCGCGCCCCAGGACCGGGAGGGGGGGTGGGGCGAGGTGGGGGCGCTGGGCCCCGAGGAGGAGGCGCCCGGAGAGACCCGCGGCCAGAGCAGCCCTGCCGCTGGGCGCACGCCGCTGTCCCGTTCCGTTAAACTCAACAAAGAAGGGATATGCGTGTTCCTAACAAGTGCAGGATATTTAATTGATCATAAACTTATGTATAATAGTTTGTGGGTCTTTAAAAACGTACTTTATAATGTAAGAAGCACCAGGGTTTTATGTTGAATTATCTTAAAAATATTTTTCTCTCGTCCTTTTCCTTTGAGATCTTGTGTTGATTTTTTTTAAAATCAGGTGTTTTTATTTTTTTTAAATTCTAAAATGTGAACGTTTCCTTCAGCCCTCCCACCGAAACTGAGAACGAACGACGAAACAAATAAAAACCCCAGATCATCCTTGTCAACGCAGGAAAACGACTTAAAAAAACAGAAAGAAAAAAAAAAAAACCTGAAACGAACAAAACAAAAAAAAAGAAAAAAACACTCAGCTTTCGTTATCCCCGCAAAGGGCGGGGCAGGCCCGGTTCTTTTAGCGTCCCCAGAGCCGCGAGGACATTACAACAAAAATAGAATTTTTCTTAACAATCTCTTAACATACAAAGATAGGAAAACTCTCTGATGCATTGCACTTGGTTCAATGAAAAAAAAAAAGTTCATTTCCCCCATATATATTTTTTGTGGGTTTTTTTTTCGTTTGTTTTTCTCTTCTAACACGTCCCCACATCTCCTGTGGCCTCGCCGCCTCTCGCCTGAGCCTCACAGCGACCCTGGGGGACGGAGCGACCCCCACGCCCTGCCCGCCCCGAGCCCCCCGGGCGCGCTCCGTCCCGGCCCAGCTGGCCTGCAGCTTCCGACCTCGCCGGGCGGGCGCCCCGCAGACCCGGCTCCCGTGGCGCCCGCCGCCCGCCGCTCCGCCGCCCGCCGCCCCGATGGCCTTCGAGGGCACGTGCGGCCGGGCAGGGGGTCCCTTCCGCTCCCCTCTCAGCTCTGACCCTGTTTAGCCAACCAAACTGAAAAATCATTGCACTTTGACCGCGCGTCACGCCCGGCCCACCCGGCCCCCCACCCCGCCCTACTCCCCACGACCCCCGCCCCCAGGCTCCCGTGGGATCCCCGGTCCCCAGCTTCTCAGTCCCCGTCCTCCCCTGGGCTGCAAGCGGATGGGGGCGGGAGGAGGGCCTTTGCTCAACTTCCAACAGAAGCTACCCCCAAGGGCTCGCTACCTCGTGGCTGCCAGCTGGGGAGGGGGCGCCACCCGCTGGCCCCCTCGGGCCCCTTCCCAGCCAGCTCCCTCGCCGCCTTCCTGCCCTCGCCTGCTCTGCCGCAGCCTCACACACTAGATTCACAATAAATAAAACCCATAACCCACCCCTGCGTGCAATGTCGGGCTGATTGACTTCCAGAGGATCCTGACCTGTGCTTTGTGTTTTCACACAATTAAGAGAGAGAGAGAGAGAGAGAGAGAGAGAGAGAGGCACAAGGACTTAGAAGGGGTCCGAGGAGGGGCGATGCGGGGAGGAGGGAGTAAGGCACAGAAAGACAAGCCAGAGGGGCCAAGTCACACCCTGGATCGCGCTGGGCGTGCCCCTGCTCCCCTCCCTCCCAGGGCGGCCTTCTGAAGACCCTCTGCACAGGTCCCCAACCTTCCCTTGGGGGAGGAGGGGAGTTGGGGGGAGGGGGGAGCTACCTCCTGTGGTGTGTTACCAAATTGTTCCCAAGCTGCTTAACTGGAGGAGGAGTTCCCAATTGCAACAGCAGAAGACCCGAACAATGAATGCCCCACCCCAAAATAAAGAGTAAAGACATTACAGCTGAAATCCAGAGAGAAGTGGCCACAAGGGGTGGGGGGGGGGAAGTGGGGGTGGGGGGAGAGAAAACTCCAAAACGCTTTTGAAAAAGGACGACCGACACCCAACACCCTCCAGAGGAACGGAAAGTGGGCCAGCAGGACGCCTACCTAGAGCAGGTGGCGGCTGCCCTTCCTTCTCGCTTGGCTGCGGGTCCCCTTTCTGCTCCACTCTCCGCCCGGCCACAGCAGGGCTGTCTGCGTGAGGGGCAGGGGCAGGGACCGATGGGGTGGCACAAGGGCACCTGCATGCGGGCTGGGGTGTGGGGGCGACTTGGGGCCCGTCTCCCCTCACTGGGGCCATGGCGGAAGGGCGACCTCCCGGGCCTGCCTGTGAAGAGAGGGAAGAGGGGGCCTGTCCCCCTCGGGGACTGGACCTTGGAGAGCAATCTGACTCTTTACTGTACAGAGGGGTCTGGGGTCCTGGGAATCCCCCTGTGGCCCCGGGGAGGGTGGTGGGACACCCTCCATTCCGGGAGCAGGAAACTCGCTCCAGGAGATGCGCCCTGTCCAGGGGCTGGGGCTGCTAGCCGAAGGGTGGGGCAGGGGGACGCAGAGGCGGCCCTGCCTCACCGCCTCCGGAATAGGCAGTGAGGGAGGGCTGGGTGGGATCTGGAGGGGAGCGCCCCCTGGACCTGCACCCCTCATCTTTCCAAGCTAGTCCTCTGAGCTCCCTAGTGGAGCTCTGACCCCAGCTGAGGGTGGGGTTCCCCCAGGAAGGACAAGGGTGGGGGACAGGCCCCTTCAGCAAGGTGCTGGTGGACTTGTTTGGGGATGAAGTTCCTTCCCCGGAAGGAAGGCCAGGATGGGATGGGGAGGAAGTTCGGCTGCATCCTTTCTTTCTTTCTGCCCTCTGCTTGGCAGAGTCCGTTTTGCATGTTGCTTTCTGCTTGGCTGCTGGTGCACAGCTCCGCCCGCCGAGACCTCTTCTGAGGGCTCTCAGAAAACTGGGCTGCTTCGGGGGGCCTGCAGGGGTCCCTGGGCTGGAGGAGAGAAGGGCTGAGTGGCTGACGACGTTTAATTTTTGCTTTTCGGTGGGGCTGGGCTGGGGGATTTTTTTTTCCACGTCTCAAAATTTCTTCTCCCCCTGTTTGAGGAACCTCTTCTTTTCATTTTGTCATTTCTTTTGTCGATCTTATCAGAGGAACCAGGACTGAAGCGGGACAAAAAAGAGGCGATATTGAGAACAGCTGGGGCAGGGCCCTTCTCACTTCCACCTGGCCCTGTGACTGCAGGTGCTGGCCGGGGCCCCTGGAGGGTCCAGCTCCAGCGGAGCCAAGGATACCAGCACCACACAGAGCTCCATCCCATTCTGTCGGTCCCTCCTATGGGAATCCTGCCCCCCCCCCAGAGACCTTGCCCCCTAGTGCTACAGTCCAGCTGGCCTTCCCGTGGGCATCGTGCCCAGCGGGTAGGACCCCCGTGGCTGGCGCTGGCACAAGCACAGACCTGGGATCTGGCCATGTTTCCAATTGTTTAAGTTTTTGTGTGGGTCCTGGAGGGTGGAGAGGATGCCAGGCTAGAGCTTTTGTCCCCGGAGGGGTTTGGGGAGCGGGGGGCGGTTGGTGGCCTAGCTTCTTGCTGAGTTTTCTTTCTGTCTCTTTAGACTTAAAAGCAAAAATTCCCATCTGTACACCCGAGCCAAGGTCCCACAGACTGAAAGGCTGGTGAGGGGGACACACATGGCTTCAGTCCCTAACAGTGGTCGTCCTGGGGGAGGGGCCTGGTAGACACACGCCCCCCCCCCCAATTCTCTAGCCTAAGGCAGCAATTTTCAACCAGTGTGCCACAAGAATTTTTAGTCAGGGACACTGGCCTTTTTCTTTTTTTCTTTCTTTTTTTTTTCTCATTATAAAATATTTTTAATCTACAAACTATACAACTATGACTAATAACAGTGCTTTTTTTCTTAGACTGTCAATTTAAAAAAAATGATAACAGCCAACACAATAGTAAGGTGTGAATGAACCAAAATTATACCTTTTTTTTTTTGTCAGATTGGCAAAAATATGTATTTTTTTGGTGTACCGCAGAATTTTAGTAATGTTTATGTGTGCCATGAGATGAAAAAGGTTGAAAATTGCTGCCTTGCCCTGGCCGGTGTGGCTCAGTTGGTTGAGCGTCGTCCCATACACATGCCCAGATTGCATGGTGTGTACGGGAGGCAACCAATTGATGTTTCTCTCTCTCTCTCTCCCCCCTCCCCCTTCCCCTCTCTCTAAAATCAACAAAAACATACCCCTGGGTGAGGATTAAAACAACAACTACAAACAAACAAACAAAAAGAAAATTGCTGCCTAGGGCAACAGCACTGAGGAAGGACCTCAGGCTCCCTGGGGCACATGTCCCTTCTCTTATGATGCCAGCAGGGGGCGCTGCCTTCCCACAAACGGGCCTTGGTGGCCGCTCAGCGCAAAACATTCCCAGGGTGGACACCCCTTCCCCCTTCCCCATCATGGGCTGCCTGGCATTTTCCTTCACCAAAGGCTCTGGCCCCACCTCATGGCCAAGGGGTAGGGTCGGAGGATTCTCCTCGATGGTCTACAGTGCCTAGGTATGCCTGGTGGTACCCCTTGGGGCAAAATGGAGGTCCCTGAAAATGCATCTCAGGGCCTCTCCCAGGCTCTGGGTCACAGACCCCGATCTCCCGCGGCCAAAGAGAACTAACCACAGAGCACACAGCGGGACCTCACTCATTCCATCCTTGCTCCAGCCCCACACAGGAGCCAGGGACAGAGGGTGGCTGACCTGCCCACGGACTCAAATGCAAGGGGCAGTTCAGAGTTGAGGCTCCTGACTGCTACATGTGGCGTGCTCGTCCTGCCAAGGGCAAGGCTGCCAGCGTCACCGTGAGGGCCTGGGGAAGCTACTTCAAAAGAAGCCAAAAATCCAGACAGAATTTCATGTGGAAATTCCAATATTTAAAGCACTTGTGTTGGTCACACACTTCTGCCTGCAGGCCAGACCTGGCCCCCCACCTCCCAACCCCCGCCCAGGCTCTGGTTTGGGATCGCAGGCTGTTGTCCACTGTGAGATGGAGACATTGAGTTTTAGTTAGGAAAGGCCTCAGAGATCACCTAGAACTTCCTTCACAGTGGAAATGGCCTCTGTGCTCTCCATGACTGTAGCCACATGTGCCTTCTAAGCACTTGAAGTGTGGCTAGTGTAATGGAAGGATTAAACTTTTCTCTAGTTATTGAAATTTAAGCAGCCACGCGTGGCCATGGCTAGCTCATTGGGTAGGGCAGCTGGAGGGTATTTGGAAAAGTGGGGGTTGGGGTTGTCATAGTGACTGGGATGCTACTGGTGTTTACTGGGTGGGCAGAGATGCTACACTTCCTGCCACATGCTGGACAACACGCTCAGGGGGAGACCTGCCCGGAGTCCGACCCGTCTATTGACTGAAGGCCAAATGGAGGCTCATGGTGTGTGTGTGGGGGGGGGGGGGGAGGGGCTGGCAAGTTGTGGGGGAAACGAAGCATCCCCAGCGTGGGCCGTCGGGGGATGGGGGTGGGGGTCAACGGCCAGCTCCTGGGCTTCCTGTCCTGGCCTTTGGAGAAACTGCCTGGGTACCCCCTTTCCCCCACCTTGATGCGCTCTGGGACCCTCTTCCTAAAGAGAGGCTACACTGGAGCCCTACCCCACTGCCCTAGCTGTGAGCCTGCCCCTGCCCCTCCCTGTGAAGGACAAGAGGTTTTGGGGACAACCAGGTCCCTTCCAGACCAAGCCAAAGCCCTAAGCTGGACCCTTGCAGTGGTTCTCAGCCTTCCTAACGCCGTGACCCTTTACTACAGTTCCTCATGTTGTGGTGACCCCAACCATAAAATTATTTTCGTTGCTACTTCATAACTGTACTTTTGCTACTGTTATGAATCATAATGTAAATATCTGATATGCAGGATGTATTTTCAGGGGTCTCGACCCACAGGTTGAGAACCGCTGCTTAGGGTCTCCCGAGTTGCACAGCAGGGGGACAACCACCAGCGGCTCAAACTTGGGGACTCCCTCAGAGGAGGAAGACTTGGAGTTAGGGACAAAGGCAGCTCCAGCAGGGTCCCCAGCACCTCCTCACCGGCCCCAGGAACAGGGATCTGCTGCCAAGCACAGAGTGGCTTTTCTGCTTACCCCTCCCTGCTTCCTGAGCCAGGTCCAAAACTGATTAAAACTAAGTAAAAAGCGCTGCCCAGGGAATGACAAAATTGCTAAAATTCTCTTTTCTTCCCTCATTCTATTGTTCTCTCTCCATCTGGTGCTCCAGAGATCAGCTAAAGTCACTGGTTACTGTGGAAACTGACCCCCACTGCACCCCTGGTGCCCACCCGCTGCAGCCGCCGCTTGCCCCCAGGCCCAAGGGCTCCTGGCTAGGCTTGTCCAGCTCTGGTCCCCCACCGCCGCCGCCGCCACCGCCGCCGTGCACACCTGCCTGCTCCCTGCCAAGGCCCAGGCCCCTTTTGGGAACAACGGGGAGGAAAACTTGCCTCATACTCTGACTTGGCCCCACCGTCCAAGCAAAGTGAGCAGAGAAAGTGCAGAAGGGAAAGCACTGGGAGGCGGAAACGGGGTGAGCAGGGAGGGCTGGAGGCTGTGGTCCCGGAGAGCAAGCAAGCACGCAGCAAGCAGGGGAACAGCCAGAGCTGCAGGCAGCCGGCGGGCGGCAGGGGGGAGGGCGGAGGGCGGGAGCGCTGGAGTCCTGCAGCCCGGTGCCAGCCCCGAGCTGGGAGGGAGGCCCGCAGAGGTGCCTTCCTCTGGCACCCCCTCCCGCCCTCTGCCAGCAGGGCTCTCCCGGGCTCCCTGGCACAGAGTGGAGGGGGCTGGCTCCAGCCCCTGCTCGGAGCCATTGTTTTTCTTCTCAACACCCCCAAGTTCAAGTTCATCTGGGTGTTACATCATGTCTGGTTGCTCTTGGAAACCAGACGGGTCAGACGTGACTCTGGGGAAAGGGGGTGGGAAGCTGGAGGGGGCTGAAGTTCCCCTCCCCTCCCCTCCTTGCCACTAGGGAGCTCTGAAGTTTGCAGTTTGACAAAGTTTTTGGCTGTTGTTTTTTTTTTTCTTTTTCCGAGGGAGGGAAAGGAAAAGGGAAAAAACAAAACCTCAAAACCACACATACAAAACTTCTATCCACCAACTTTCTCCGGACTCAGGCCTCAGAGCAGAGAGGGAGCAGGAGCTGACAGAGGTGGCCAGGGCCCTGGGTGGAGGTGGACTTCCCCAGGGCTGAGGCCTCCTGGCCCTGGGCTCCCAGGGTGGTACTTTTATAAGAAGAAGTGCCACCCTATGCAAGCTGCCTTTGGCCTGCTCCCGAGGAGGGTGCTCTCTGTGCCCCAAGGGCCCTGGGCACTGGAGACTATTCCCGGCCTCTCGGGGACAGGCATGGGAAAGGCAGGACGTGTGTGTGTGTGTGTGTGTGTGTGTGTGTGTGTGTGTACATGCCTATGCAAAGCAGTGTCCAGGGTGTCCAGCAGGAGGGCTGGGGGTGGTTGGGTGTTTCCTTGTGAGAACTGGAGACAGATGGGAGCAGGACGGGGGGGGGGGGGGGGGCTCCAGAAGCTTGGTCACCCTTCTTTCTAACAGGACTCAAGGGGAATTGGGGGAGGAGCCTCCAGGGCACAATGAGACTTGCCCTGCCCCAGTGCCAGAGTCTCTGGGCACGTGGCCCACCAGGCCAGCTCTGTCCCTCCTCAGCCCACCCAAAGCCAGGGGAGAGGGGGGGGGCTGGGGACCAGGGCTTCCCGCAGAGCAGGAGGAGATCAACGAGACAGATGCTGTCCCACCCTGACTGGGCCTCGGCTTCCGTCTTTGCTTCTCTCAGGCCTGGCCCGGAGTGCCTCCAGCCTTGGGTCCTTGGCCCCTTCCCCAGGGCCGAGGTTGTCAGAACTAATTATCCAATTAGCTGGTTAGCCAGGGGGCCTGGGAGCTGCCTGGGGAGGCAGGTTCAGCTGGGCGTGCAAAAGCCTGGATCCTGCAGCCCGGCCCCAAGCCCTTCTCCCAGACGAACTCCAAGACCCTGGCCTCTTCCCTGACACCACGATGCCCCCGGTGCCTGCACCCCCTGCCTCCCCTCAACCCCCATGCTCGCCTCCACACTCCTACCTGAGACTGCTGTGGGATGTTCAGAAAGTTGCCGTCCCGGGGTCCGATGCTGACAAACCGGTTGGCAGAGGAGGCGCCTGTCGCTGCGAATGCTGTGGGAGCAGGAGAGAGAGGAAAGAGCCCCGTGAGGCCGGGGGCCCACCTGGCACTGCCCTTGTGGGGCTGCTGAGAGGGAGGCGCTGGGTTAGACCACGCTGTCCAGCTTTAGGCTGGCGGTGGGAAGGACCGGCCAGAGGGGCCCCTTCGTCCTCTTACCAGGAACACACACCATCCACCACCCCCAGCCTCTGCTGGAGCCAGGCGTTCTCTTTCCTGGCCAGGGGTTGGGAGGGGCCCTGGAGACTTCAGCTGAGATCCCACAGACCCAGTTCTCCCCCCCCCCACTCCCCCTCCCCCCACCCCCCGCCCCCCGCACCCAACCAGGCACTGAGCTGGGCCAGGATAGCCCTCCTCTCCAAGCACTGAAGGGGGTGACCTTGCTTTCCCACTGGTCCTCTCAGGTCTGAAGAGAAGGGAGGCGGAAGGGTGGGACTCTGGTGGACTGGTCCCACCCTGCCTGGGGAAGGCTGTTCTCAGACCACCTCTCCAGCAGGGGGGCTAGTTGGGTGCTACACCTCTTACTACCCTGGACAGTCCCAAGGACTGGGTCGATGGTCCAGGGAACCTGAAGGGGCCCAAGGGAGGGCTGGGCCAGACGGGATGGCTTGGAGAGGGATGTAGGAGTTGGCTGCCAGCGAGGGCCCAGGGGTGACAAAGCTCAGGCCTGGCAGGCATTCTCTTCCTCTGATGGGTGAGCCAGGTGCTATGGCCCTGGGTTTCCCCAGGGTCTGAAACAGGCCAAGGCACAAGAGGAAGAGGAGGCTGGAGGCGCTGGCGGAGCCCCCGGGCTTGGGTGCCCAGGGCAACTGTTCTGGGGTCTGAGGGGCAAATGAGCCCAACACCCTTGAGCTTTTCTCAGGAGGAGCTCGGCAAGCTCCTAGGGGAGGGAAGGGGCCCTGCAACCCCAGGAAGGAGGAGACCCCCACAGGGGATTATGAGGGTCACAGGCTGCCTGGGAGTCCCCCACCCCCTGCCCTGTACCACATACACCCCAGGGACCCCATGCTCACCAGCTTCTGTCCAGAAGTGCCACCCTGTAGCCTGGTCCCCTCTCCCACCCTGCCCACCTCCAATGACCATGACCATGACTTGATGTCTTATGGCGGATGCAGATGGGAAGATGGCATGAAGAGGATGGAGAGGGGGAAAGAACTCAAACCATGAGAGAGAAGGTGAGACAGAGAGCGCAAGACGGAGAAAAGTAGTGAGATGGGCCACCCCTCCCACCCGGAAGTCCTGGCCTGCGGCCTGCCAGCCCCCAGAGCGCCCGAAGCGCTGCCCACACCCCACCGGCCCTGCCCGAAGACGGCACACCGCCCACCCGCCGCCTCTTCTGTCCCTCACGTCGGGTCTACCTCGGGCCTCCCAACTCAGATTTTTCTCTTCCCTTGGACAAAAGTTGTCATTGGTTTAAACAAAAGAGAGAGAGAAAGAGAAAGAGATGAAGTAAGCCAAGGTCCAGAGCCCTCCCTCGTCCTCGGAATATCCAACCTGGGGAGGAACTGAGGGAGGGGAGAGGGAGGGGGGAGGGAGGGAAAAAAGAGGAACAACGAGAAACCAAATGTGAGGCTGAAGGGAGGGGTCAGGGCGGGCCTGCTGCACCTTCTCGAGGCCTGAATGGAGGGGAGGGGGGCGAGGCAAAAAGGGAATGGTGGTGGCGTCGCCTTGTGGTCACATTAAATTTTCTTGGTGTGGGGGGCACGACAAAACAACAAAAAAAATCAAAAAACAACAAAAAAACGAAAAACAAAAAATACAGCAATCAGGCATGAAGATGGCATGGCTGCGCCTCCCGGTCCCTTCCCACCCCGGCCAGCACCCCGGCCTGCGCCCCACTGTGCTCCCCCTCCCGCCCCCCAGGGGCCTGGGCCAGGGGCCAGGGCCGGGAGCAGCGGGCAGGGGGCCTAGTGGTGTGCTGGCTGGTGCGCCTGAGGCCGGGGTGGCCGTGGTGGGGGGCTCAGGTTTGCTCTCATCCGAGCGGGAGGCTCCGTGGCCGTCTCGGTTGGGGGAGACTGGATGATGGGCAGGGCGTGGGGGCTTGTCTGTTTGCAGTGGAGGCTGTCTGGACGGGCTGGGGCGTGTGGTTTCCGTTTCATCGTCCACTTACAAGGTGATGGAGGAGTCAAGACGGCGCCGTCTGGGGCAGTGCTGGTGGATTTGGAATCAGGCATAGGAAGGGGCACAGGTCTGGCCACTGGAGGCGGCGGCGGTAGCAAAAATGACCCCGGGACTTTGCCCTGGCCGCTACCGTTGGGCTGCGAACAACATAAATAGAGTGACGCATGAAGGCACATCACACACAGACACACGCTCCCCTGCGCGGCCACGCCAGCTCGCTCCTGAGAGCGGGCGCTCCCGGCGGACGGTGCGGAACAGGGTCCTCTCCTCCGGGCACAGGGTGGGTGAGGGCGGGAGGCCTTGGTTTGGTCTCTCTGGTGTTTCTCTCTCTCTGTTTTTTTGTTTTGTTTTTTTTAATCTTTCGTGGTCCTCTTCTGAAGTTGTGGGAGGAGGAAGGGGGTGTCCGACGGGTGGTTTGTTATTTCTTAGGGAATGTGTTTTCGGTACCAAAAACGTGCCGCCTACCCACAGACCAGCTGCACCTAGACTCTCACTCCTGAAGACCTTCTCCTCTGACAGGAAAGATGCACCAGCTTTCCTCCTCCCTGTGTCCCCCCAACACACACACGAGCCCCCCCTCTGCGGGGGCAAACAGTTACCCTGGGGTGGGTCTGGTTGACCCAGAGAGGACTGCCATCCTCCACCCCACATCATGGCCTGCGGGATGCTGGGCACTGGGGGGCTTGCCCTCAGCTCCAGCAGCCCGAGGACGGTGGGGAGCTGGTCCTTTTGCTATGGAAGAGCCCGGGAGGAAATCCATTGCTGCCATTCATTCCTTAGCGGACATCCTTGTACAAGGCTCTCAGACACCAGGGTGCCAGGTCACTAGATCCGTTCCTTGTCTTTCGTTCCGTCCTGTACCTCAAACTCCTGTGCGTGGCCTTGCGTGCGTGCGTCAGCCTCGGAGCTCCCAAGGACCTAGGCGCCACAGGCGAGGCAGAGGTCCCTGGAGAGACCTCCCTGAGCTGGGGGCACGTACCTCCCCCTGCTCTGGGCAGTATCCCCGAGGACCACCAGCAGCCGGAGTTCAGGGGAGCTGGGCCAGAACTCTTCATCCTAAACTGGCCTCTCTCTCACGGGGCAATGCTCTGCCCTCCCAGCCAGCCAGGTGTGAGAACTTGGGAAGTTTCCCTGCTCCTGCTTCAGCTGGTAGGCCACCCCTGCGGAGCCCACCCCATGGATGTCTGCCCATCTTTCTGTCATCACTGGTTGCGCCTGGACAACGACAATGAGACTTGCAAGAGGTCTCCCCTACGCCGGCTGTGCTCACCCGCTCAGTGCCCTGGGTGCCTAGCTCTGTGCCAGGCATATTACTCATCTTGTGTTCCGTCCGCCAAGGAACCTGTCCGGCAGCAGTTCTCGCTTGGGGGCAGTTCTGCTCCCCAGGGGGCACTGGCCGTGTCTGTAGACATCTCGGTTAGCACAACTTCCGGGGGCTGCTGCTAGCCGCTGGTGGGTGGAGGCAGGGAGTGCTGCTCAGCACCCTATAATGCCCAGGGTGCCCCCCAGGACGAGGGCTCATCGGTCCAAAGGTTCCCAGTGCTGCAGGTGGGAAACCCTGCTGCAAGGGAAGCTCCGCCCTCCCGCCCCCTTTCACAGCTGGGGAAGCAAGGCTCTGTGCAGCGACGTGGTTGATGCAGTCGCTGGGCTGTGACTGGTGAGGCCTGAAGTTCACAGCCGTGTCTGTCTGACTCCATGTCCTATGGGTTTTCTCCAGCAGGTGCAACAACCCTCCTCCTAAATCCCAAGGTGCCCAGATTCTTCCTGTCTCCGGAAACCTTCCACGGCTCTGACTGCATCTGACATAAAGGAGGGTCTCCCCAGTTGGGATTTAAGGACCCCATGGTGGAGACCCTCCCAGCACTGGTGCCCCTATAGCCCCTCCTCTCAGGTACATCCCATTGCAAACCGACTGGGGCTTCCAGACGCAGCCTCACAGTTGGGCTGCGCACCTGCTCACTGCAGGGCCCTCTGTCTGCAGTGCCTTTTCCTACACTTCCCAGGCCTGCTCACAAAACACTGTCTCCCACGTGGGGACCAGCCAGATTCCCTGAACCACCATCCACCTCTCTCTGCCCTGTGGCTCCAGGATGCTCTTGACCTCCCCTGGGACCTTTAAAGCAGACTGCCTGCCACCCAGGCTCCCCAGCGAGTCACAGGCCACCTCTGTGTGGCTCAAGCCTGCGGCACTCAAGTCCCAGTGACTGAGTTGAATCAATAGTCACCCCCCCCCCCCCCCCCCCCCCCCCCCCCCGGCCCGCTGCACATTAAAACCACAGAGGCCCATGCTGACTCATGTAGGCCACGCCCCTCTGAACTCTGGCCGTTCTGCCCACCATCCTTCACCTCTAGTGACCAGCGTAGGTCTGACATCGTCCCTCCAAGAGATCCCTCCTGGACTTGGTTGTTCTTGCCCACTCAGAGGCCCTGACAAAAGCAAGCAGTGGCTGCTGGTCCTGGGCTGGAGACCCTCGGTGTCAAGTGTCCTTTCAGAAACGGTCCCTCCAGTTCCAGACACGGGCCAGAGGGCTCTCCAGCTCTGCAGGGTTGATGCTGAGACACGAGCAGCAACTGCCTTCCCTCCTTCACACGGCCTATCTGGTTCCTATCTTGCTTTTCCACCAGGGCAAGAAACTCCACAGATCACAGCCTCTCTCCTCTTCTCCAGGCGCCATCCTGAGCCTGGGCCCCGGGGAAGCTGGAACATGGGGGCTTCCGCGGCAGCACTTGCTCCCGGGGCAGCTTCTACCTCCTTCTCCAAGCACCCGAAGGGCATCCCCAGAGCCAGTCTATTCCCAGGAGGATCTAAAACATGAATCCTACCCAATAAAGCTAATCCCAGCTTGATATGGCTGAACATCAAAACCTGCTGATTTACAACATTCGGTCTCTAGAAGCAACTTCCAACCAGGCTAGGATGTCTCTGCTCTGGTTGGGTTATAGGTGGACGTTGGTAAAATCTCAAGGTCTTGACTTGCAGCAGCATCTTACAACCTCACGAGTTAAGAGCTATAAGCGCAACCCGGCCGGCGTGGCTCAGTGATCGAGAGTGAACCTATACACCAGGAGGTCACGGTTCCATTCTCAGTCAGGGCACATGCCCGGGTGGCAGGCTTGATCCCCAGTGTGGGGCGTGCAGGAGGCAGCCAATTAGTGATTCTCTCTCATCACTGATGTTTCTCTCTCTCTCCCCATCTCCCTTCCTCTCTAAAATCAATATATATACATTTTAAAAGAGCTAGAAGTGCATGCTAGTGACAGATGAAGAGGAGGGCTTGCCTGGCTGCTCCAGCATTGCTGGTGGAAGCTGAGCCAGAACCAGGCCTCCTGCCCCTCACTGAGCCCTGGGACCTCTCCCTTGCACTGGTGGTCTCTTCTCTCTGACAGAAAAAACAGCTTTCTGTTCTTTGCATCTCCCCTGAGCGGTGTCTCCGTTTGGCCTTGGCCTTGACTGATGTGGTTCTTCTCAGTCGGCCTCACACTGGGGTCTGAGGCTAAGCCATAGGGGGCACTGGGCATGCCTTCTGCAGATCATCTGTAAAACCTTTGTACGCACACACACATTTTTCTGTAAAGATGACCTGCAACTTCAAGCTCTCACGGGAGTTAGTCATTTACTCCTCTGGGCTCTGGATCAGTGGTTCTCAAAGTGGTCCTCTGACCAGAAGCAGCAGCAGCTGAGAACTGGGAGAGAAACGCAGGTTCTCAGGCCCACCCAGACCGGCTGAATCGGGATCAGGTGAGACCCGGCCACCTGCGTGCCCGCCAGGCCTCCGGGTGATGGGTGACGCCCTGCGTGCTGGCTTCTCCTCTGGAGGTGGCCAAGGGGCAGGTGCCGCCTGTATGGCCACCCCCTGCCGCGAAGTCAGCTGCAGAGCCTGGGCCTCCGGTGCTCCCCTCCCCCCCCAGCATGGTGCCGTCTCTGGCCTCCTCTCAGAGGCTGGGCCACCTGGAGCAGGCTCACTGCAGACACCCCCCCTCCTCTCTTGGGCACCACAGGCCACAAGAAGAAACCCAGAGAGGCTGATGCCCAGCCAAGCTAGCCTCCCTGTCTAACCAGGGTGGCTGTTCACCCCCGTCTGTAGCTTTTTGTCCATCGTCTGTTTGGAGAAAGCACCTGCCTTGAGAAGAGAACCTTCTAGGCCAAATGAGACCTTAATCTTGAACAGTCAAGTCAAGGGAGAGGGTCAGGACTCAGCCGTCAGGATGCCCGGGGGAGGGACCAGCTCTCCGGGCTAAACTGGTCGCCCAGGTTGGTCTCACTGAGTCCCAGCCCCGGCTGTCTCTGTAGGTGAGAAGGCAGGCAAGGCAGGTGGAGGGAACACTCCACACCCCAGAAGTCCCAAAGGGCCTGGTACAGGGGCTGGCAGTTCCCAAGGACTCTGCCGGCATCTCTGGAGAAAGTGCAGTAGCTGTCGGGGGTCACGTTCACTTTGCCCTGAGTGCCCCTGAAGTGAACAGAGCTTGTCCAGAGAGGTGGGCAAGCCTCTGAGTGTGCTAAGGAGCTGCAGAGCCAGGAAGAGAAACCCTTAAAGGGCCCAGGGGGAAAGGAGCTGGAAAGCAGAAGGAAAGAGAGCAGGAGGGAGGGAAGACGGAGTGAGGAACCCCCCATCAATAATGCCCCCGCACTTAGCAGATGTCCGCCCTGTGTGGGGCACCTGAAGGGCCGCCCCTGCTCTCCCTGGGTGTGGTCTGGCATGAGTCTGGCCCTTTGAATGGCCTCCCCCCCTAACCTCTCACAGGGAGCTCCAGGCTGGACCGGCTGGGGGACAGGAGCTGGGCCTTCTTGCCATGCAGCATGCTGCTGGGAACCAGCACCTTTCCAAAGGTCGAGAGACCACTGTGCCCCAACCCAGCGCGGTCTCCCGGGGACGAGGTGAGGACCACTGTCCCCCTGCAGGGCTGTCTCTGGACCACCACTGTTTGGAATAATTCCTTTCCTGAGTGACCCCGAATTTCTGCTGGTCAGTGACCTGGGTCCTAGGGCTCAATGACCGAGAACAGCAGTGCCCCACAGCCCCCACAGAGCTCCACGGGAAGCCAGTGTCTCCCAGGCTGAGGAGCAGAGCTGCACTACAAACCTAGAAGCAACCTGGAAACCGCCTGTTCAAAGTCCTGCCAACCGGAGTCTCCATGCCAGCCCCCGTGGCCAAGGACGCTGCCCAGCACCCCACGCTGCCCAGCACAGCCTCACACCACAGAATGATGAGCAACCCCAAATGCCAACAGTGCCACCGTGGGGAGATTTTGATCTAGAAAATCCTTGCAGCCCCGAGGCTTAAGAGGGGTGTTAGGAGGTGAGGGTCCTGGTCTGGGTGGCACAGCTCATGGGTGCCCTCCTGGGGGAACAGAGACTGAAGAGAGGGCCGGGAGCCTGAGCAAGGTGTGGGCCCTGCTGCTGCCCCCGCCTTTCTGGACGGTGACAGAGAGGCTCCGGCACGATACACAAACCCCTACCGCAGACCAGAAAACTAAGGTGTCCGCGCCACTGGCTCCCTGCTGCTCCCGTCCCGGGTGGGCTCGGCTCTCGGGCCCTCTCCCTGTGATCCTGACACAGACGGACAGACGCAGAGATGAGCTGTGGTGGGGCTCCGGGGCCTCTGGACTCACCTGTCCGGTGGCCTGGCCCGAGCCATCTGAGCACACAAACTGCACAAACTCCTTCAGCGAGTCCTGCCCGTGGTGGTGGTGGTAGCGGATGGTCGGGTGCGTGAAGTACGGGCTCGACTGCTGGATGATGGATGTGGAGGGGAAGTGCAACGCTGACGCTGTGGCCCGAGGGCTCCCTGCATGCACGTGGGCGGGAAGAAAAGGGCATCAGGGTGGAGAAGATGAGGGAGACGCCCTGAGGAAAAGGGAGAGTGGGCGGGAGCAGGGCCGGGACCAGGGTAAGGAGAGTGAGGGTCTGGCCTCTGGCGTGGACGTTGAGACAGCGCAAAAAAGCCCTCAGTAATCAAGGTAAGGAACATTTTGATGCGTATTTTAAAAAATCCAATTGGCAAACGGGGGCTTGCACACCCATCAGCTGCTTGTCTTGACAAATAAAGTTTGATTGGGACCAGGGCCAGCGTTAACGTGAGGCAAACGAGGCAAGGATAGCATCAGATCCATCTTTTGTTTAAAATGTTTATATTTGCTCTTTGGTGTTTTTTTTTTTTTTTGCGATAGTTTTATTTTTTAAGAATATTGCATTAGCTCTAGCTGGTTTGGCTCAGTGGATAGAGATTTGGCCTGCGGTCTGGAGGGTCCCGGGTTCGATTCCAATCGAGGCACATGCCAGGGTTGTGGGCTCAACCCCCAGTGTGGGGCATGCAGGAGGCAGCTGATCAATGATTCTCTCTCGTCACTGATGTTCCTATCTCTCTCTCCCTCCACCTTCCTCTCTGAAATCAATAAAAATATATTTTGAAAAAGAACGTTGCATTAAAACATCATTTATCCTGACGACTGAATTTTGGGTGCCCCCTTAGAGTTTGCGCCCAAGGCGAGGTCCAGGGCTAGGATGGGAGCCTGGATGAGGGAGGAGAGGAGACAGACACGACCCCCGCACCTTGCAGGACGAAATGTGCACATACATCTGCGCGTGAGCAGGTGTGCACCTGGCCGCTGCTGCCTCGGCCACGTTCTTGTGTGCTCAGCCCATCACCCTTGCACATGCGTCCTTGCACACGCAACTCCCTTCCCGGTCCAGGCCCCAGCTCTCCCCCAGCCAGTCCTCTCCCTCCCGTCTGTTTCCAATCAGCTTGCTCTTGCTCTTGGTTTCATTAGGGGGCTGAGGAAACTTGGCTTTTCTCTGGAGTTCATAAAAGCTGAGCAGAGCTGGGCTCCCTGCCCCCACGCTGAGGCCACCACGCCCTGCCCCAGCGCAGGCTGCCTCTGGGCTCCCAGCCAGGAGGCCCTGAGGAGGAAGCCGGGAGGGTAAACCTTGCCATTCTCTGTGTCCTATAGAAGGGCCCAGGAGATGGTGGGCGGACACAGGGTTGTGTCCAGAAAAAGTTCAAGCCTCTTTCTGCCAGATGGGTGCCGAGGTGGGGGTAGAAACAAGAGCGGGAAGAAGCAAATGAGGGGGTGGTGAGGACTCGGCTCCCACAACTTCCTGCCTGATTCCATCCCCTGGGAAACATCACGGTGTCCTCCCTGCCAAACACCTTCTCCCGAGGCTGAAGCAAGAGAGCCCCCAAGTCAGCAGCCAGTTCCAGTCCTGGGAGAATAGCCCAGGTGCCACGGGTGATCCCTGGGTTCCCAAGTGCCCTTTCAATCTGCGCCCCATGCCCACCTGGGTTGGTGCGGGGAGACCGGACCTTTGCCCAGGACCCGGGAGAGCAGCTGAGAGGAGGGCGGAGGGAGAAGCTGAGCTTTCCCAGCCACAGCTGGCGAGAGGAGAGGAGAACCCGGCAGGCCTGAGGGCAAGTCAGGCCTGTGCACACATCCATGCACACACATCCCAGCACACGTTACGCAGCCATGTGCACACATGCACTCAGTGCATGCATACACACAGGCACCCGACACACATGGAAGCATGCACACACAAGTGCACACGGGGAGGGAGAAGCAAGTAGGAGAGCACTTGGGAATGAGGTGAGGAGGCTGGGTCTCCAGTCAGTGCTGCCGTGGGAGGAGGGCCCGTCCCCTCGCCCACCCACTGTCAGACCACAGCCCCGTAGAGAGCTAGGGGCCCTCACTCTGATGGACCTGGCCCCTTCACCTGGCTGGCTGCCCCTCGGTGCTCCGCCACCTCCCCGAGAGTCCCCCTCCGGGCCCTCATGTCTCACCTGGTCTGACTCCAGCAAGCACAGGCAGCGGGTGGTGAGTGAAAGCCATGCGCGGGGAGCTGCCCTGAGAGGAGAGGGCACTGCAGAAGTCCAGCTTTCCTGACTTCTTTAGAGAAGCCGGGCCTGGGGGGAGGAATCAGCAACACAGGGCAGGTTTAGCTGGGCCAGGGCGGGAGCGGGGGAAGGCAGGAAGCCAGCAGCTCACTCCTCTCCTCAGCCCCCTCCTGGCTGCCCCTTCCCCCACCGTGCTCCCTCCTGCCACCTTTGCCCCATCCGGCTGTTTCTCAGGCCCCGTGTGCAGCCCAGCCGGCACTGGGTGCCTCTGACAGGAGAGGAAAATGAGGCACTTGGGTGTGCTGGGCCGGAGGTCCATCTTGCCTCCTGACAAGCCGATAATGAGCTCAGGGGGCACAGATGAAAAGGTGGGATCCAGGAGCAGGGGATCAGGAAGGGCCCTGGGGTCAGAGCTGGCCAGGCAAGGATTGCCTTGGCCAAGGAACCCAGAGGTTGGACTGCCTTTGGATGGGGCATTTGTTTTGCTGCCAGTGCCAGAGATGGGGTGGCATTCAGCAGGAGACAGGGGCACAGAGGACACCCCTTTAGGACCCTCTGTGCCCAGTGAGCACCATATCCAAATGACACTATGTCAGAGCACAGCCCGGGGCCAGGTCCTCTGTGGGAGTTTGATTCTTCTCTGGGCTGGGCCTCAGAGGCTGTGCCTAGGCTGGGAGGGAGGGGTAAGGTGGAGCTGGAGCAGATCTCCAGAGCTGCCATCTTTGATGCACAAATCAAGTCAGTTTGGGTGGGGGGTAGGGGGCTGCAGAACAGAGAAATAAGAGCCACTTTAACCACAGAGGGAAGAGGCGGGGGAAGGGCGAACTCCCAGCCGCCAGAAGAGGTGTTATCTGGCAGCAGCTGTGTGCCACCTGATAGCTGGCACAGTGAGGGGGGGAGCGCCCCCACCAGCTGTGCACAGCTGTCCCCTAGGCCACACAGTGCCTCCCCAGCTGTTCCCTGTCCTGCAGCTGGGCTGCTTAATTGGCGATTTGTCTCAGCGCAGGGAAACAACACAGGAAGCGGGTGAGGAGGAAAAGAGGGGAAAGCGAGGAAGCTGGGGTGTGCCGCAGGACGATGTTGAGAGCCGTGTGTGGCAGGACTGCAGGAAGCAGAAATGGTGGGCTCTGCAGCAGACAGCCAACAAAGAAGAGAGCAGGGCCTGGGGAGGAGGGCTCCTGGGAACCAGGTGTAGGCCGAGGGGCCGGGGCCACCAGCCGTGGTGGATGTGCCCTTAAGGCACCTGACAGAGCGGCCACTTCACTGAGGCCGGCTGGGGTTTCCTCAGGGCCCTCAACTGCTTCTCTCTCCACCTCCCGGGGTTCCCCAGGGAAGCATCTGGACGCTGCTGGCCCACATCCCCCGCCTGCCTCCAGGGAACCCTGGGAAGAGCACCCCAAGTCATGTGGAGCGATGTCCGCAGAGGCGGGGCTCGATGGTGGCCCAGAGCCTGGTCCCTTAGCCCACGGCCCGGCCTGGAGGAGCCCTCCTCCCTCCTCCAGTGCAGTCAAGAGCAGAAGCGGATTCTGTGTCTGGGGCAGCGCCCTCCTGTCCTTTGGCCTTTCTTCTCCCTCGCCCCAGCCCCTGCCCATCCACCTGGCCCTTCCCAGTAGGGCCACATCTGGAAAACACCAGGAAGAGCACCGCTGGAACCCAAAGCCCCCCCGCCCCCAGGCCTAGCAGAGCAGAGGTACCCTGTGCACATCCCACACACGCACGGGCAGTACTCCCTGCCCCCCCCACCCCCACACACACCTCAAGGACACACACAGCTGACCAGCAGTGTGCCAAGAAGTATCCTGCAGCCCGCTTCCTCATCTACACCTGCCACAGGCGCACACACACTCGGGCTCTCCGGGTCTGCCCAGGCCTCCCAGCAAGACTGGAGTGACCGTGGGTGGGTTCACCAGGAAGCAGGTGGCTAGAGGGGGCTGGGAGGCCTGGGGACAGTTCTGCTCACTCTTGAGTAGCCTCTACTTCTTTCTGCAAAGCTGAGCCCTTTAGCCCAGCAGTTCTCAGCTCAGTCAGCTGGGGAAGAGTCTGCCCTCCCCCAACCCTAGGGGACATTCAACGATGTTGGGAGACATTTTTGGCCATCACACCCAGGGTGTGTGTGTGTGGGGGGGGGGTGCTACTGGCATCTAGTGGGAGGAGGCAGGGCTGCTGCTCAACACCCCTCAGTGCACAGGATGCCGCAGCTCAGAGAAGGACCCAGCCCCGGTGTCAGCAGTGCCCAGTTTGAGAAGCCGCTTTAACCCTTTGCACGCCATAGGCGTCTAGGGACGCAGGGATGGTTTCTGTTTCGGACGCGTGGCAGTTAACTGGTTATACCACCAAGACTCTAGAGCCAGGGCAACCTTTCTACAGAAATGCCAGGAGAAGGAGCCTGAGAAGGCTTTGAAGGGAAAGCCCCAGCCCCACTGCAGGGCACCGGAGGCCTCCGCCTCCCTCCTGCCACGCCCGTGGCTCTGCTGCCCACCACGGCAGCCAAGCTCCTCGCCTCGGCTCCTTTCTTCGGCCGGCACTGCCTTCCTCTGGAAGACGGGGAGGCGAGAAGCCAGGCAGTGCCACTGACAGTGGGGGAACCGGTGGGAGAGTCGCCAGGTAAACGGAGGGAGGAGGCGAGGTTCAGGGCTGCCCTGGCTCAGGGCCAGGCCTCTCGGTGCCCATACCTGCATCCACATCGTTGGGCCACCCGCTGGACTGGCTGCTGCCAGCCGCTGGGGAGCGGCCTGTCCCGGGATAGAAGACATCGTCGACAGGGCTCTCCATCTCGCTGTCATCAATGGACTTGGGGCGCTTGGTGGTGCTGGGGAAGGAGGAGCGGGATCAGGCGGGCCCGGGGTGGCCCAGGTACTGGTACTCAGGCCGAGGAAGCCTGCCCTGACGGCCCTCTGAGCTGGGAGCAGGTGCCCCCTGACAGCAGCACTGCTGGGCACTCATTCATGTCCACCCCCAGGACAGCCCTAGAGCCCTTGGCCCCGCCTGCCTGCTCCTCCTCCTCGATCACCTTCTCCATTCGTCCCTGATACCATCATCCATCGAGTTGCTTAAGTCAAAGGGGTGGGCAACACCCTCAAATGCTTTCTTGGCCCCACAGCCCCCAGGGTCAAGGTGAGACAACTGAGGCACTCACCAGGGGGTGCCACAACCCCCACCATCAGGATAGAAACACGAAGATATTATAATGGTTTGATGCAATAAACAGATCAAAATGAACACCCCAACCCTCACATGAACCAAAACGTCCAGTTGTTTGTTTGTTTTTTAAAGGGACAGGATCCCACCCTGCCCTGCACGACTGGCCCTGACCAGGGCCTACTGTGTCCACCCCCAAACATCTCTCAGCTACACCCGACCCTCTCATGCCACTGCCCCACCTCCAGGACTCGGGCCCTCCTCCAGCCTGGCTGCCGGTCCTGCCTGGCTGCTGGAGGTGCTTTCTTGAGCACACAGCCCCGGCATCTTCTGCTGAAAACGCGTCAGTGCATTTTTAGTCTAAACACCTTCCTCTGGCCTCCAAAGCCCTCCAGGGAGTGGTCCCACCAGCCTGTCCCACTCGGCTGGGACGGAAGCTGCTCTCTCCAGCTGGAGCGTCCACCCCGTGCCCTTACTAGCCCCCTGTAGGTCCATCCCCGAGAGAGAGACCTTCTCGGACCCGCACAGGGAGTGCCTTCCAGGTAGAGCCAGGCCTTGTGTAGGTCTCCATTCCCAGGGCCGAGTGCCCACAACAGTACAAAGCAGGACGTTCAGGGTAGAGGGCCAGTGCCCTCCACAAGGGGTGACGTTCTGAAGTACCCAGGGCACTGTGGCACAGCTGCCCACCACATCCGAGATGGCCCGGTCGGGGTGGGGGGAAGGGAGGAGGGAGGCCAGGGGTGCGGGGCTTACCTGGTGGAAGGAGGGGAGGTGATGGACCTCCGCCCCAGCGTCACCTGGTTTATGTTGTAGTAATTGGGACTCTCCAGGTCCGCCAGCGAGAAGTTGGGGCCTGATGCTGTGGCGACAGGAGCTGGGAAGAAGCGAGAGATGACGGGTGAGCCTGCAGGTGCAGGAGGCCCGAGGCTGGGCTCGCTGGAGAAGAGCCCTTCGCTGTTGTTTTTTCCTCCAAAGTGGAGATTAGACATGGGCCTCTCTGGACACCTCTGCTCCCCTCAGCCTGGTGCCCGGGAGGCAGGCAATGTCCCAGGAAACCCTGTTGGCCCCTGGACCCAGCAAGACCCCATCCATCCGCAGGGGGCCATCTCCTCACCCCATCCCTGCTGGCTGGGCCCTGGCCAGGAAGGAAGGACTCACTTACTCTGTGAAACTCTGACCAGCTCTGTTACGTTCCAGACCCCGGAAGTCACAAAGCAGTCCTGGAAGCTTAAGTGCCCTGAGGAGGGAAAAGAGCCGTGATGAGTGGAGGCCAGGTCAGGAGGGGCTGCCTGCGTTTCCTCACAGCTCTCCCACCTCCCATTGCTCCCTCCCAAGCCCCAGGATGGCCCTCAGGGCCCCTTGGGTCTCCAGGGAAGAGGGGGTGCACTCTAGGTGAGTCCCTTTCCCTCCCCTCGAGCTGGCAGCCAAAATTCAGCTGAAGGACAGCTGAGTAAAGGGGAGGAACTGGTGGGAGGCACAGGAGGGCCTGGGGGCAGGGCAGTCAGGGAGGTGTGGGCAGCAGGGCAGGTGGGCAGGGCACTGACCGTTGGGCAGTGGTTTGATGTCCGCATCTCCTTGCTGGTTTGAACTATCTGATTGTCCGGATTCTGCGGGAGACACAAAGGGGAAGATGGGTCAAGACCAAAGTGCCCCACACACGGCTCCCTCGCCAGCCCTGTTTCCAGGGACACCCTCCTGCAGTGGGGATGCCCGGGCACTGCAAGGGGTTTGGCAGCACCCCCGGCCTCCACCCACTAGATGCCAGTAGCACCCCAGTTGTGACAACCAAAAGTGTCCCCAGACACTGCCCCATGTGCCCTGGGGACAAAGTTGCCAGTGGGTGAGCAGCATTGGCCGACAGTCATAGCCGGGAGGGCTCCTCGGAGGGAAGCCAGCGACCATTCTGCACAGCTGGAATGAACCCAAGGGCTCCCCGTCCTCAGCCCGCCTCAAGTGCCCAGAGAAGCGGCCCCTGGCTTCCCGCACTTCATTAATTAGAGCCAGTCCTGTCTGCCTGAGCCACCCCCACCTCACCTTTCTGCTTACAGGCAGTGCCTGGCAACACGGAAGGGGGAGGTCCACCCTGACTCTGTCGCCCGCTCTGTGCCAGCCTGTCTGGGCTGTCTCATGCCCCAGTGCCACAGCTGCTCAGAGGGAGCCCCGAAACAAGGGCCCATTGTGCAGCGGGAGCTCACAGAGGGCTGGGGGCAGGGTGGAGTGTGTGTGTGAATATTTTGCTGAGCTTGGGAAAGCCCCCCGCCCCGCCCTCCAGGTCCTCAAAGCTTTGTGTGCCAGGGGCACAACAGGGACCTCCAGAATGCCTGCCTGGGCACGACAGCTGGTGAGAGGGTGGCAGAGGGGGGCCAGGGCAGGTTGTGGGGCAGGAGGAAGGCAGGCGCTGGGTAAAGAATCAGCTGCTTGCTGGGGGACAACATGGGGGTGGCACTGGGAAAACCGGGGACAGGTGTTGGCCAGGGCTTTGCCCCACTCTTTGGAGCAATCCTGCCTCTGGGTCTCACCCATCACCCCACGGTCAGTCCACTGGCCGGGAATCTGGCCCCCACCAGCCTCACTGCTGAGCTGCTCACACTGGGGAGTTACCAGCCAGGAGGTTCCTGAAGGGCAGCGTGGGCCCCCACCGGGGCTGGAGGCAGCGCAGCAGCTTCTCAGAGCGAAGGCCCGTCCGCGGCTCCGCTCCTGGCCACCTGCCTCAGTGTGGCCAGCGGGAGAGGACAGCTGCCTTAGGACGGCCTCAGGCCCCCTCCCCCCATCCTCTACCTTATTCGATTAAGAACATTTTTTGATTGATTGATTTTAGAGAGAGAGAGATAGGAAGGGGTAGGGAGAGGGAGAAATATCCATTTGTGCCACTATGTATGCACTCATCGGTTGACTTTTGTATGTGCCCTGACCAGGGATGGAACCCGCAACCTGTGCATAGCGGGGCGCCGCTCTAACCACTTGGATACCCGGCCAGGGCACCTTGTTAGATTTTTTTTTAAGCCCCCAAAATAATCCTAGCCCTAGCCAGCCGCTGCCTCTCAGGGCCGCCCTTTCCCCAGTTCCTAACGCGGGAGGGGCAGAGCTCTCAGACCAGCTTGTGGAGCCCAGCGAGGGCACAGGCTCCAGCCCTTGCTGCCTGGGGGTCCCTGGCACCCACCCCTCCAGACCTGGGCCAGTGGAGGAGACCCTGATGTCCACCCCACGAAGTGGCCTGGTCCCCCCACAGCGGCGGCGCTGGCCTGCCTCCCGCACGCGCACACCCAGCCCAGCGACGGGGACCAGAGAGAGCCGGACAAAGAGATGGCGGTGGAGCAGGACGGAGGCAGACACACGGGCTGCAGGCAGGGAGACAGACAGGAAACCTTTCTACACCGGGACATGGCCCCAAACGCTGCTGCTGTTCTTCCTATTCGCTCCATGTGGAGAGGCGGGCAGGCGGGGAGAGGGGGCGAGGTGCCGCCACGCGCCTCGGGCGGCGCTGCCCGCTGCTGGCAGCCATGTTCGCCTTGGCAGCCATCTTACGGCTGGCGCCCGCGGCCACCGCCGGCCTGGCGCTCGGCTCCGTCCTGGACAAAGGCAGACCCTGGAAATCTGGACCCAGGCTCCGAGGCACAGAAGCCAGCCCTGCGGCTAGGGCCCCGCCGTCCTGCTCCAGCGCCACCAGCTGCTTCCTCCCGACCAGGCCGAGGAGGGGACCGGGAGGGCCGAGGCCGGGGCCTGGGGACACGCTGCTCCACTCAGGGCGGCTGAGGCCCCCACGGGCAGCCCCCAGGCCCAAGGGCTCCTCTAGTTCAGCGAAAGTGGACCCCTGCCCCATGGGGACAGTGCTCGATGGCAGCCGCCTGTGCCCACCGTCAGCTGGGGAGTGTGCCTTGGACGGAGCCGGGAGGGGCTGGCGGGCACCCGGCCAGCGGCTGCGGGACGCAGAAGGGCCGTGGGCTCCTGGGGCCCAGGCGCCCGGGGAGGGCAGAGACACCTGCCCCGCACAGAGGGGGGCCAGCTTTCTCGCCCCAGGGGCGCTGGGGAGCCATGCCCTGACGGCAGGGTCTGCTCTGGACAGTCCTTGGAGCACACAGCACCCCAGCACCTGACACCCCTCCATCCGGGCTCCCCAGGCCTCAGGACAGACAGGAGGGAGGCTCCAGGCCCCGCCTCACGGCTGCTGGGCTTTTATCTGGCAGAATGGGGCTTATCGGAACCACCAGCTGAACAAACACACAAATCCACGGTTAGCGAGAGAAAACCCTGTGCCTGAACCCTTTATCTCCTGTTCGCAGGCCCCACGCACTGCCCCCTGCCAGCAGCACCGGAGGAGACCTGACTGCTGCCCTGCGGCTCCTCTCTCCGCTGCCCCCCCCCTCCCCTCGCCCGGATCCAGCGTGGGGTGGCTCTCCTCTGGAAGTCCCTGCCAGGCAGGCGTGTGTGCCTGAGCGAGCTCCTGCCACCGGGGAGCCCCCCTCCAGTGTCTGCTTTCTCACGGGGGACAATGGGCCAGCTGGTGGCCTGCGGACCAGTGGAGGGGCAGGACGGTGTTGGCTGGCACAGGGCGGGCAGGTGCCCGGCTCCCTCTTTTATTCTCTCCCACCCAGCCCACGTCCCGGAGGCTGCCACTCTGATTCCTCAGCCGTTCAGGGTCACGTTCCCTGGCTTCCGCCTTCTCTCTGGCCTGGTCACCAGAGCAATGGGAACCCTCAGCACCGACCCCCAGTGCAGGGCCCCCCTGACTGAGGCCGGCACAGAAACCCAGACCCCCTGCCTGAACCTCCCTTCAGAGACCACAGCTGCCGTAAATTCCTGGAGAGACTGGAGATAGGACAGGGGGGCCGTGGGCACTGTTACCTCCCTCGGCCCCGGACAACTCACCATTTTCCTCCTTCCTGCGCTGAGGACCAGAGAGCACCTTCTGTGTCTACGCTTCCTCCCACGATGACCATCCCATGAGGCCTCCTCCAAACCAAGTTCAGCCACTGTGTCTGGGTGGGCAGGCACCAGGGCCCTGACCCGGGGCCAGGTTTGGGGATGGAGAGACTTTTGGAGCCCACAGCCTGTTCCGGATGTTGCCAGGGGGTCAGACTGGCTTGTGTCGCACACCGTCCTCCATACGCCCTCCTCTTGGGACCTGAGCTACTCGTGCGCTCCACACCTCCCCTCCCAGGCAGAGCCCTCTCCCGCCAGTGGTGCCTGGGGATCTGGCCACCCAGGAGACTCCCGGGAGGGAGGACTGTGCGGAAGAAGGTGGCCAATCGGGACTGCCTCAGCATGGGCCCAAGTGGGCTCCCCAGAGCAAGGCTCTGGAACTGGAGGGGCTGTTCCGCATTCACCTGCACACATGTCATTGGTCACCACGTGTCGCTGGCTTGTGGACGGGCAGGTGGCCTGGTGCAGCCCAGACATGGTTGGTAGTGTGGGCCCCTCTTCCTCAGGCCCCTCCGTATCCCCTGGAACAGCAGCAATGCCGCTCCCATACTGTCTTTCCTACCCCCACCAGCTCTACCCTCTCAGCCCTTGAAGCTCCCTACTTCCTTCGTTCAGCTCTTAGCCTTTCTTTCTGACTCCGCGCCCCCTCGCTGTCCTTCCTTCTCCTTCACTTCCCCTCTGTCCAGCCCTGTTTCCTCTCCCGATCCTGCCTGTTGGCACATGTGTGCGTGTGCATACGTGTGCATGTTTCCAAGAGTTCTGGAGGGGGAAGCTCCAGCTGCCAGGAAGAGCCCCGTGCTGCACATGAACCCCGACTGACAATGTTTTTATATATATTTTCCAGTCACAGGCAGGGAGATATTTATGGCTCCCGCTAGGTGAGGGAGGAGTTCCTGCAAGCTGCAGCGAGGAACACTGCCTCAGCTCTCACCCGAGACAAACTCTCTGACAAAAGGCACATGTAACTCGCTGGCCGGCCTCCCCCATGCACATCGCGATGCAGGGAGTTTTCAGGGTTGAGAGGGGCACACAGACTGGGCTCAACCACACCCACCCGTGCGTACCCCAGCACATGCAAACACTCAGGGCAGCGCAACTCGGAGATGCCTCCAGCCACTTCCTACTGTCCTGCAGGGGTGGACTGCGCCGTGCACCCAGAGCTGTCATCCCACCGTGGCAGCATGCTCTGGGCTAAGCCCCAGGCCAGATAGGAAACCCCTCTGGCTCTGCCCTGAACGCTGGCTTTTGGGGGCCAGGGAGGACAGCCCTCGGGGTCCACCTGTCCTTCCCCTGGCTCTCCCCAGGCCTGAGGTTCAAGAAGCAGGTGGGGGTGTGCTCTGTTCTGGGGTGGCCGTCCTCTGAAGGGCCTGTACCATTCAGGAGCTGCTTGGCCCTCTCCAGCGTGGCACAGCCCCTCCCCCTCTCCTCTGTGATTCCGGAGCGTCCAGAGCACTGGAAACCCAATCTCAAGGGGAGCCAGAGGCCGGCCTGCAGCAATCAGAGCCGGAGAATATAACTATTGTGCCTCTTGAAACCTAAGTCCCAGAATCTGAGACACCCTGAGGAGGGGAGCAGGGCGGATGGGGGGCTAGGAGGACGGGTCACAGAGGGGTTCTCCCCATCTCAGCAAACAGGAGACTAGGGACCAGGAAGTCCTTGAGAATGAAGGGCAGCCAGAGGGCAGAGG